TCGCCGCTGTTATAAAGGGCATGCAGCGGCTCGTCCCGACAGTGGTGATATTTAACCATTTCCACAGAAGCCACTTTGCCATTTGGCTTTAAATCCAAAACTTCATAATGTCCCGGAAGAAAAGGTTCCACTTTTAAAAAAGGAGTTGTGGAGTGCTTCAATGTAACAAGACCTACAAGTTCAAAGACGATAACTACTCACGATGTTTGAATTAAAACACATGCCTATGATATAAGCAAAATAAGGGAAAAAATTTAAACACCCAAAGCCCTACCATCTACTTACTAAGATGATAGTGACAGAGAGAGCCAAATTACACTAATTTTTAGTAACATAAAGCAATAGAATCATCTCCAGTGTCCAGTTTCTTCTCCCTAGCTGGAATTTCTGATGAAAAAAAATATATATACTTCTATGAGGTTACTGGGAAAGTCCTAACATTTTTCTATGCTTTTCTATGCAAAAATGTGTCATGACTTTCCTGATGACCCAATGTAACAAAACAAATATAAAAATAAAAGGTAAATTTATCTACCAAAGAGATGAACTTGAATCTGCTAATTTTATGTCCTGGCAGTCATTTCTTTGCCATCGGTAAGGTATTTTAGGAAAATAGCCATGGGTTCCAGTCCTTTAACAAGCAAAATGATCCACTGTTAGGTACTTTGAAGTCAGATACTAAGAAGTGAGACACCTATCCCTAAACACTGTGGTGAATAAAACCACCTAATATTAATTTCCTCAATATGTTCTCACAGGTGACGACCAACCTGCCGTCACCGTGATTCTTGATATAAAAATCAATGGTATATTAGTAACTGCCTGTATGCACAGAATACTATTATGATTTAGATTTTGAGATTGTTGACCCAGTAATTTGTGGAAAATTAAATGTAAAGACCAGACAGGGACCCAGATCTCCTCACTAGCTAGCAGAGTTGAGATGATTTACACAACCCCTATAGCATCTGGGGAGTCATTAAAAGGTTTTAAGGCCCTTTCCACAGGGGAACAGGCAGTGGAGAATGACTGCAATGCTGGAGGCCACATAAGAGGCCCAGAACTCAGATCTTGGGTTGACTTGAACATGCCGCCAGGCATGTCTTTATGTACCCATGATCCTGGCTAGGAGGCTGAGATTAGAATCACACTGCAGTGAGGCCCTATAGAGGGTACCTGGCTCTCTCTCTCTCAATATAAACAAGTTCTTTTTTAAATTTAGTAAAGGTTTTAAGCAGGGAGTACTATGATCAGATGAGTTTTTGATAGGCTATCCTCAAAGTATTGAAAAGGAAAATCGCTGCCATTCCCTAGATGCAATAGGTCATCTGGTCTGGAAAAAAGCAGTGTAGAAAACAAGAAATTTCAGAAAGGAAATTGGATATAAGATTATAGTCTCATATCAAGGAATTATCACACCCAAAGGAGACACACTGGAAGTAGGGACCTGCCTTTCCCTTGTGTTCTTTGTGTTGAGCTTCCCTAACAGTCCTTTACGTAACTGGATGTGCTTGTTCTTTGCTGATTGATCGTGCCTGAAAATAGACCAGTTCCAATATCGATTAGTATCCGCACTATAACTAGTGTTCTAAGGATCCTTTAATTAATCTCACTACCCTTGCTTCAGCTAATATTAAATGTGAAAAAAAAAATTATGTGAGAAAGAAAAGAATTGGCAAAAGTCAGGGAGATCAGATTTTAGAATGTTAATGCTGTCTAGGTGAGAGATAAAAGATGAATGTTTCCCTTAAGCTTACTGTCATAAAACGCTAAATAATTTACAAATTTTCTTTCATTCTGTGGGTTCTGTTTTAACTTTATTGATGACGTCCTTTGAAGAACAAAAATTTCTACTTTTTATGATCTCCAATATCGTTTTTTCTTTTGTGGCTTATGCTTTTGGTGTCATACCTAAGAAATTCTTACCAAATCCAAAATCAAGAAGATTTACCCTTATATTTTCTTTGAAAAGTTTTATAGTTTTAGCTTACATTTAGGTCTTTGATCCATTCTAAGATAATTTTTATATATGGTGTGAGGCAAAGGTCTACCTTCATTTTTTGCATGTCTATGTATAAGTTGTCACAGCATCTTTGTTTTTTTAAGAGAGATTTTTGCCATAGGGCATGTGTGCTTGCCAGACACACAAAGACACAGAGACAAAGTGAGAAATCATCCCGGGGGGGTGGGGGGGAGTTGCCACAACACAATCCCTTTTCTTCCATTCTCCTCTTGGGATTTTGGGCACACACGTGCATACACCCAGCATGAGTTAGAAGCTGCTGGATCTGGGACTTGAACTGCGATCAACCATGTGGGAGTCCAGCATCTTAACCACTATGCCACCTGCTGGCCCCTATCGCAGCATCACTTTTTGAAGACTATTTCTCTCCTATTAAATTATCTTATCATGATTCCTGACAATCAGTTGACTGTACATGTTCATTTCTGGACTCTCAATTCCATTTTGCTAGTCTGCATGTCTATCCTTGTGACAGGATCACTTTCCCGATTACTATTAATTTGCAGCAAGTTTGGAGGTTAGGAACTATGAATATGAATGAGCCTCCTTTATTCTTTTTCATGACTTGTTTTTTTTTTTTTTTTTACTATTCTGGGTCCCTCATAATTTCATAGTCAGCTTGTTAATGTCTACAAAGAAATCCACTGAAATTCTGATAAGAATCACATGGATTCTGCACATCAGTTTGGAGAATACTACCATCTTAACAATATTGTCTTTTTTTGATTGTTTTGCTTTTTAATTTTTTTAAGAGAGATTTTTGCTATAGGGTATGTGCACTCGCTGGAAAGACAAAGAGACAAAAAGCAAGAAATTACCCCCCAGGGGAGATGACCATAACACAATCCCTTCTCCTTCATTCTCCTCTTGTAATTTAGGGGCATGCACTCACATGCACTCAGCATGAGTTTTAAGCCACTGGGTCCAGGATTTGAACCATAGTCAACTATGTGAGAATCCAGAGATGTAACCATTACTCCATCTGCTGGTCCCTAGTAATATTAAGTCTTTGATCCATGACCATGGGATGCTTTTTCTTTCATTTGCATCATCTCCGATTTCTTTTGAAAATGTTTTATAGTTTTCAGAGTACAAGTTTTACGCTTCTTTTTTAAAACTTGTTTCTAAGTATTTTACTCTTTTTGATGTTTTGTAAATGAAGTTGTTTTCCTAATTTCATTTTTGGGTTATTGCAAGCATTAGTGTCTACTGCACATGAATGGAAAATTGTATACTGATCTTGTATCCTGTATCCTTGAGATTTGTAATAAAAAACAGATCATTTCAAGCCAGACAGTGGGGCAGCAGTATTGACACTCTGCAAAGCTGACTCGCACGGGGAGATTCCAACTTCGTGTCTAAAGACCTCCCTGAGTACACATCTACCAGACATGCACATGCTTATGATCTGGAGCTGGTTGAAACGAAGGTGGATCATGGTGTCAAGACCCTGTTGGAGGTACAGTCTCTATTTCTCCCTCTATCCGAAGAAATAAGTACACTTTATTAAAAATAGATAATTCGAAAATAGGTAAAGAAACTGTGATACAGCTATACAATGGGATACTACTCAATAACAAAAAGAAATGAGAGCTGGTTCATAGCACAGTGGTTAAGTGTTGTGCAGTGGGAACTAGATACTACAAAGTGGGCTATGGTTCAAATCCCAGCCCCAGCAACCTGAAAAATATGCCAGGGTCATAGGCATGTGTCCCTAAAATACTGACAGGATGAAAAAATGAAGGAAAAGGGGGACCAGCAGTTAACGTAATGGCTATGTCACTGGATTCCCACGTAGTTGACCACGGTTCACATCCCAGACCCAGTGGCTTAAAACGCCAGGCCCGTGTGCGTACATGCCCAAGATCCTGAGAGGAGAACTGAGGAGAAGGGATTGTGGTGTGGCCATTCCCCCTGGCGGGTGATTTCTCGCTTTCGGTTTCTCTGTCTGTCTCTGTCTGTCTGGCGAGTGCACGCGCCCTATAGCAAAAACCTCTCCAAAAAAAAAAGGGGGATTACAATGTGACTGTACCCCATTGGGGGGGTTCTCTCCATCTCTTTCTTTTTTCTGGTAAGTATGCACATCCTCTAGCAATTAAAAAGGAAAAGAAAAAGAAATGAGCTATCAAGCCATTAAAAAGACATGGAAAAACTTTTAAATACATATTGCTAACTACAAAAAGAAGCTAAGCTGATTACCATTATATGACATTCCTGAAAAGGCCAAATTATAGTAAAAAGATGGTTGCCAAGAGTTTAGAAGGGGAAGGGGAAAAAGTGAGTAAATAAATCACAGTTATTTATTTTTTTTTGACAATGAACTATTCTATGGATACTAAAATAGTAGATGCATGGCATTATGTATTCATTAAACCAAAATAAAACAGTACAACACAAAAAGGGAACCCTAAGTAATTTATAGGTTAGTAAAAATGTGTCATTATCAGTTCATGGATTCTAATAAATGTAGCACACTAATGCAAGACAATAGTAGGAGAAATGGAGAGGGGGCGGGGGGAGGGAGGGAGGAAACAGAGGGGACATATGGGAACTCCCTATACTTTCTTCTCAATTATTCTGAAACATAAAGCTCCTCTGAAAAAATAGACTTTATAGACTTTTTTAAAAAAATAAAATGATCCCCAGCAGGGGGAAAAATTGGCAAAGGCTCTGAAGAGACATTCTCCAAAGAAAATATATGGTCAATAAGCACAGGAAAAGATGTTTGACATCACTGACAACAGGGAATGCAAATCAAAACTACAAGGAGATACCACTTCACACACACTAGATGGCTAGCATCAGAAAGTCAGAGTAAATAAATGTTTCTGAGGGTAGAATGAGACTGAAACCTTCACACACCACTGGTGGGAATATGAAATGATGGAGCTACTTTGGAAACAGTCTGGCAGTTCCTTGATAATTAAACATAGCTCCAATATGACACTGCAATTAGACTCCCAGGTATATATATATATATGGCAAATAAGCACAGGAAAAGATGTTTGACATCACTGACAACAGGGAATGCATATCAAAACAACAAGGAGATACCACTTCACACAAACTAGATGGCTAGCATCAAAAAGTCAGAGTAAATAAATGTTTCTGAGGGTAGAATGAGACTGAAACCTTCACACACCACTGGTGGGAATATGAAATGATGGAGCTACTTTGGAAACAGTCTGGCAGTTCCTTGATAATTAAACATAGCTCCAATATGACACTGCAATTAGACTCCCAGGTATATATTTAAGCAAAATGAAAACATATCCACACCAGAACTGGTACACAAATGCTTACAGCAACATTATTCATAATAGCCAAAATGGGGAAACAACTCAAATGTCTATCAATTAACAAATAAACAAAATGTGGTATATCCACGGACTGGAATGAAACATGTTACAACATAGATAAATGTTGAAACCATTATGCCTGGTGAAATAATCCAGTCACAAAAGCTTAATGATGATTCCATTTATATGAAATTGTCCAGAACAGGGAACTTCGTGGAGACAGTAGATGGGTGGAGAGTGAGTGGGGAGGGAGTACTGATGACAGATTTGGAAGGACGAGAAGTGACAGCTAAAGGGTATAGGGCTCCATTCTGAGGTGAAAACAAGTTTTAAAATGGATTTGATTACAGATATTTTTGAATATATTAAAAATAATTGAACTGTACATGTTAAATGGATGCATAATATGTAATAAAAAAAAGTAAAGTATATACCAATAAAGCAATTTTGAAAATGCAAATATTGGGGCCAGCTGCTGGTGTGGTGGTTAAGGCAGCTGGATACCACACAGAGGAGTATATGGTTTGATTCCCAGACCTTGCAGCCTAAAAAACATGGCAGGCACATATGCAAAATCCCAAGAGAATGGAGGAGAGGGGGCTACTGTGTACCCATTGTTTTCTCACTTTTCTTCTCTCTCTTTCTCTCTCTCTCTGGCAGTACACACACTCTATAGCAAAACAACTTTTTAAAAAGTGAATACTGGGCCAGCTGGTGGCATGATATTGGGGCTGCTGGATCCTACGTGACTGACTGTGTGGTTCACTAGTGGCATGATGTTGGGGTTGCTGGATCCTACGTGACTGACTGTGTGGTTCAAGTCTCAGACCCAGTGGCTTGGGGGGCATACCAGGCACAGATACCTGCATGCACAGGATTCCAAAGGGGTGAAAGAGGGGATTGCACTGTGGCCATCCTCAATTGGGGATGCTTTCTCATTTTTTCTGTCTCTTTATTTCTCTCCAGCAAGCATACATGCCCTCTAGCAAAAAAGAAAAAATAAAGGTAAAGCTAATATGCTAATATTTATTTATGCTATAACTGTGGCAAAGTACCATAGTGCAATACACTTTGGGGGTGCTGTCTCACTTTTTCTGTCTCTTTATCTCTCTCTAGCAAGCACAAATGCCCTCTAACAAGAAAAGAAAAAATTTAAAACTAATATTTATTTATGCTATAACTGTAGCAAAGTACCACAGTGTAGTAATTGCAGGGCTGAACTGTACCCTTACAGTATGACACAGGAAACTATGACAACACATATGAGGCTTGGGCCCATAGCTAGTGGTTAAAAGAGCCAGATCCCATATGCCCAACCATAGTTTGAATTCTGGCCCTGGCAACTTTGGAAACATGCCAGGTGCATGTGCATGGGTATCCAAAATCCCAACAGAATGGAGAAATGAAAGAAATTGCAGCGTGACCATGTCCCTCTGAGGAGGGTACTTCCTCCCTCTTTCTCTCTGGTGACTGCATGTCCCCACTAGTAATTAAAAAAAAAAGAAAAAAAAAGTAAGGAAAAGACAAATGGATCGAATTGTAAATAGATGCAGAGCTTATTAGCACAAATTTTTTTTTAAATGACTATATGTAGAGACTTTAAGGATTATAGTTTTTTTTCAGAATTTAACAGTTTTACACTTTTTTTTTAAATGGTTACCAACAGGTGGTATGGTGGTTAAGGCACTGGATTCCCACATGGCTGACCATGGTTCCAGTCCCAGACCTGGACATGGTGGCTTGAAAATCACACCGTGTGTGTGTGTGTGTCTGGGTGTGTGTGTCTGAGTGTGTGTGTGTCTGAGTGTGTGAGTGTGTGTGTGTGTGTGTCCCCAAAATCCTGAGAGGAGAAAGGAGGGACTTCTCACTTTCTCTCTCTCTCTCTGGCAAGTGCAGGTACCTTATGGCAAAAACCTTTAAAAGGAAAGAAAAAGAAAAGAAAAAAAACAAAGTTCAAAAGATCCAGAACAACGACTTGTAAAATGTTGGTTTGGCCTTTATGTGATTTTTAAACATGACATAGAAGAAAACACAAAATCAGGACAATAATAAAAATCTACAGAAAAAGTCTATCATTACCTTTAGCTTCTGAACACACAGCCAAAAATCCATCTTCTGTCATGGCTTTAAATAAAGGTCTGACTCCATACGTATCTCTGCCCAGGAACACCTTCTTGTTGGCAGTATCCAGTAAAATAAATGCAAATACCCCATCCAACATACAGATTGTCTGCTCAATTCCTCCTTTGTCATAAAGATGAAGGATTATTTCACCATCTACTTTGGTTTGATATTCAAATTCAAAATGCTGTTGCATCTTAAGGAAGCAATAGCAAACAAAAAATGTTAGATGCCTTGTTTGTTCAATAATGAATTATTGCAAAGGTGCCTCAACATTTCTGTGCTCTATAATTATTTCATGTGCTTTGCTAATGTACAATAGGAGAATCATGGTATTATCAAAATGTAGCTTGTTTCAACTCATAATTTCACAAATTCTTATAGCATAAAGCTGACCCTGAAAAAAATCATAGTTGTGGTTTGATAAATACAGTGAAAAGGTAATGAGAGAGAGGGAAGAAAATGTATCTTATACACATACTGTGTATGCATGTAACACAGATATAGTCCAGATTCCATGGCTTCCACTACAACAGGCAAACTGTGAGGTGAAAAGTCCTTGGTGGGGACCAGCAGTTAGTGTAATGGCTATGTTGCTGGACTCCCACGTAGTCAATCTCGAGTCCCGGACCCGGTGGCTTAAACTCACTCCAGGCGCATGTGCGTGTGTGCCCAAGATCCCAAGAGGAGAATGGAGGAGAAGGGATTGCGGCATGGCCATCCCCCCTGGAGGGTGATTTCTCGCTTTCTGTCGCTGACTTTCTGGCAAGTGCACACGCCTTATAGCAAAAACCTCTCAAAAAAAAGAAAAAAAAGTCCTTGGTGTGTTCCTCTTTCTTTGTACTTGAACTCACATTTTTGGCTGACAAAGGAAAGTAAAAAGGATAGCAAACAAAATCAGGTGGAAATCCTGGATAAATTTAAACATGAAGTTTTAAAAAAGAAAATCAGTAAGAAAATATGACCTGTAAACAAACTTCATCATTTAGCTCACCCTATGACTTACGAACCATCTGTCTACAAGCAGTCCTAGACTTGTCCAAAAATGGGCTTAGGCAGTCTCCAGTAACTACAGGGCTACTCCCTGGTCTCCTCTCCCTGATCTGAATGTCATGGGAATGATCTGTGACCAGAGGTGGGTTTCGGTCTTCTGCTGACCCTTCCAGACTGATGCACCTGAAGGATAAATAGCCCTGATGTGCTCAGTGAATGGCGCTGCCACAGTAATGCAACGCCCTGTGAAGCTGGCCCACATGGGAAGGTTCCAGTGTGTATCCAGAGACCTTCCTGCACCCTATGAGTGTAAGCATGCCTACCAGGAGATGAGGAATGGGATAAAACCTGGAGCCTCCCTACCACCTGGGCTGGCTGGGGGTACTGCAGTGTGAAGACCCTGTTAGGGTCTGCCTGTCACTGTCTCTGTTACTCAAAGAAAAAACAAAAAACTTAAAAAAATATTCATTGATATTAGCAAGCAACAGATTCTCAAATGTACCTTTCTCATTCCCAACAGCTTCTCTTTGACCTAAACCCTGTAAGTAACTTATTCAAAGAGGAAGAGAGGTCTCTTGGTTATCGACCCAGATCTACTTGTACCACTTCCTACTCTCTTGAAACACATCAAGGCTACTCCTTAGATAAAAGCCCCCATATATTGCCACCATCTTGAAATCACACTGGTATTCCATATGCTGGTGGCTGCAGGTTCCTGGTGCTCCCTGGAGGGAAAGAACCTCTTCTAGGCTCGAGGCTTTCCCCCATTCCTCATCTCCTGATTCAGTCACTCTCCCAGTACACCAATGGCTCTGTCTCAGCAATAGTAAAGAGGATAAGGAGTGGCTTTTAAGTTTATGTCACATTATACTTAACATAAGCCTAAAATACACATTCTATTTTTTTAGACTAATTTTTAGCTGCTTAAATTGCAGAAACTCAGATGCTTGGTAGAAGCAATGGAACGTCTTCGCTTTTAAAAATATTGGGTCATCAAAAAAGTCATGATGGGGACCAGCAGTTAGCATAATGGCTCTGTCTCTGACTCCCATGTAGTCAACCACAGTTTGAGTCTTGGACCCGGTGGCTTAAAACACCCCGGCCGCGTGTGTGTGCATGCCCAAGATACCGAGAGGAGAATGGAGTAAAAGGGATTGCAGCATGGCCATTCCCTCTGGGAGGTGATTTCTCACTTTCTGTCTCTCTGTCTCTGTCTTACTGGCGAGTGCATGTGTCCTATAGCAAAAACCTCTCCAAAAAGAAGGAAAAAAAGTCATGATGTATTTTTCTGTGTTTCTATGCAAAATGTGTAATGACTTTTCTGATGACCCAATGTAATACGTGTGGCTAATTCAGAACAAAAGTATTTTTAAAATATTTAATTTCTTTCAATTTTTTAGCAAAATCAACAAAAGCAGCAAGACTGTCCAAGTAGGGGCTGGGCAGTGTAAAATGCAATGCTCTGCAAAGCAGACCCATATGGAAAGGTTGTTGGTTTGTGTCTGGAGACCTCCCTGAGGACACCTGGCATGTGTGTGCCCATGAGCTGGGCTGGCTGAAGTTGAGGGTAGATCACCGTGTCAAGACCCTATTGAGGATTCTATATCGCTCACTCGCTCTCTCTCTCTCTCTCTCTCATGAAATAAACTTAAATAAAACACTAAAGGCAAGGTATTTTCTACTGTATTTATGGTGAAAGCCAGGCCAATACACAATCTAGCATTCTTATGCACCACATGAAAAGATTTGACTAAAGGAAGTTTTAACTGTTTCCACCTCTTACTAGCATAAAATTCCATTACTGCCTTTCCTTTTCATCATTTCATCACAAGCACCTAGAAAAACAATGCCTCATATATAATAGGTCCTTGATAAAGGTATGAAAGGAATTTGCTGAATAATTATAAAAGTTTTACATGAGAAGCCTATTATTGAGAGTAAAACCTATTTACTGTTCAGAGATAAAAATGTCCAAAGAATGCACAGAATATAAATCCAGACCAGAGAATGAAAGGCATATATCAAAAAGTCTCAAAAAAAAAAAAAAAAAAAAAACACAAAAAAAACAAAAAAATTTCCAAAAAAAAAAAAAAAAAAAACCAAGAAACATCACAACCAAATGCATAAGCCTTGGCTGAAATTTGGCTCAAAACAAAACAATAGCTATGCTTGGGGACACTGGGGAGATTTCAACCTAAACTGGAAAATAGGTGCTATTATGGACTTTCATAATGGCATTGGTGTTAAGAAGAATGTATTATTTTGGGTGAGACCAGTACCCTAGTGGTTAAGGAAGCCAGACGGCTGAATGCAATCTGAATCCCACCCTTCAACTTGAAAAATATGCTGGGCAAAATCTTGACAGGATTGAGAAATGGAAAAGAGATTATAGCACGACCATGCTCAATTGCAGGATGCTCTTTTTCTGTCTCTATGTCCCTTTCTAGAAATACACCCTCTGTAATAAAAAAAAAATGAATATATATATATATATGCTTACACTTTCAGAATTGTCATAGTAAGTAAACTGTCGTATTCTCAAATGATTCAGCCAAAAAAAAGGGCATGTGTGTGTAAAAAAATAAAATATTGCAAAACATTAATAATTATTCTATCTAAGTGTTCACTGCTCTATTCTTTTCAGTATGTTTAAATTTTTTTCAAAGTGGTCCCATAGCAATGGTTAAACACTGCGTAGGAAGCCAGATCCCACACAGCTGATGATGGTGGTTGAACTCTGGCCCCAGCTGCTTGAAAAACACATCAGATATATATGCACATATGCCCAGAATCATGACAGAATGAAGAGGTGGAGGAAAAAGGATTACAGGGTGACTACACTCCAGTGGAGGGTTGCAGGGGGAGTATGTGTTCTCTTTCTCTCTTTCTTTCTCTCTCTCTCTCTGCCAAGTGCACATACCTTCTAACAACAAAAAGAAAAAAAATATATTTTTTTCAAAATTAAAAGTTAGGAAGAGAGGTGACAAAAAGTAATTTGAAAATTATAGAGGAAAAATGTTTTCTTATAAAATACTAGGCAAATAATCCCAGATTGAAGGGGTTTTCTGCTCCCCAGGGTCAGAATTTCTACACCCTCACCCACTCTTCCCCTACAAGTTTTCACCATATTAGAAAGCTATTCCAATTTTATAACTGCTTCCAGTTTACTTCTCACACTCCACGGCATCCAGCCAACTTTCTGCCCTTTGGTTCTGACTGAATAAATCCTGCCAACACAATAAATACCATATTGGCAGCATTATACAAGAACTATAAAGATGATGATCACCAAGATATTAAATTCAATTCTGCGCCAGTCACTGGCCTGGTGGTTAAGGCGGCTGAGTCCCAGATGGTTGACTGCAGTTCAAGTCCTGGACCCACTGGCTTGAGAAACATACCAAGCATGTATGCCTATGTGCCTAAAATCCCAAGAGGAGAACAGAAAAAGAACTATAGCATGTCCATACTTCCTGAGGTGCTGTCTCACTTTCCCTCTCTCTCTTTTTCTCTCTCTCTCTCACAGGTGAACATGTGTGCCCTATAGCAAAAACTACAAATTAATTCTATCTCTGCATTAAATCCTGACATACTGCGGTTCTTGGAAGAATACTCCAAGTTCTTACCATGCCTAGATAGCCCTGGTCGAGTTGGTTCTGCCTCCCTTCCCAATCCCACCTCACCCACCAACCCCTCATTCACATCCTACATTCCCAGGGCTGCTTCATATCTCAGCGTTATTCCCTTTCCAGGAAATGCTCTCCCTAGCCTAGCTAGTTGAACTTGGCCTAGTAGGTCTTAGTTCAAGTGTCACTTCCTCAAGAGGCCTTCTCTGACCATCCTTGCTCAAGGTAGACCTCCCATATTAATCAGATCCATATTTGTTCTTTCAGAACAGCTATTATTACGTGTGCAATAATGTTTTTAATCTATTACCTAACAGAGTGAGCTCCATTGGCATGCAGACCCACTGCTCTTATTTACCACTGTACCCCTAGCACCGAACACAGATATGACCACGGGCTCTAAAAAATATTTGAATTCATAGTAGGAAGGAAAAACATTCTAAGAGTCAAAGAAACTGAATAATTTCTTCCAGAGAAACTAAAACTTTTTTTTTTGTGACAATGTCATTTCACCTCTTTGTGTATCAGTGCCCTGACTACATACCTAGAGCAAATGAAATAATGAACATGGAAAGTAAAAAGCATGATGCAAGTTATATAAAGCTATCATAACAAACTATTGTTAAAGTTCAATCATGTCCAGATTCGTCTGGTTTATTTTACTTACCTCCTTGTGGTTGTAGATTTCACCATTGTAACAGAGCCACAAATAAGGATATTTCTTCACTCGGATTGGCTGCATTCCAAACAGCTGGTCAACTACGGCCAATCGGTGAAATCCAAAGCAGCAGTTGGTATATCCATTGACATTCTCAAAACGAAATGCATCTGGACCCCTGTGTGCAATCTTCATAGCACTCAGACACTGAACAGAAAGGCAGTCATCACTCCCAAAGAGGGCCCAAATGCCACACATGGTGCAGTGGAGCTACAGGCTCTCTACGGAGAGAAAGCAGACCAATCAAATATTCAACACCCAGTCCAAGTCTGCCTTACATCTTGATTCCGGAAACCTACATAAACCATTTCAAAAACTGGAATTTAAAACCATCTTATCGGGACCAGCAGTTAGTGTAATGGTTATGTCGCTGAACTCCCATGTAGTTGACCGCCGTTCGAGTCCCGGACCCGGTTGCTTAAACTCACGCTGGGCACGTGTGCATGCGTGCCCAAGATCCCAAGAGGAGAATGAGGAAAAGGGATTGCGGCATGGCTATCCCCCTCGTGGGTGATTTCTCACTTTCTGTCTCTCTGTCCCTCTCTGTCTTTCTGGCGAGCACTTGCACCCTATAGCAAAAACCTCTCTAAATAAATAAATAAATAAAACAATCTTATTTATAGCAATTTTCCCTCTGATTGGCAACCATGTAGGAGTAGAGAATGATTCAAACTGACCTTTACATCCAACCAACTACAGCAGCATAACATGCGGTCAAAACCTGTCTTTTTCACCTTAGGATTTATGATCAGCTGGACCTGGCAATGTCCAGGTTGCACTGTCCCTACATCCTAGATTTTTTCCCAAGAGATAAATACACATGTAGATTGGCTCCAACCTAGCCAGAGATCCCAGCCACACTCTTT